AGAGACGGGGTTTCACCATGTTGACCAGGATGGTCTCGATCTCTTGACCTCGTGATCCACCCGCCTCGGCCTCCCAAAGTGCTGGGATTACAGGCTTGAGCCACCGAGCATACTCAGCTTCCCAACCTCACTGCAGCTAAGAGTGGCCAAGTAGCATAGATCTGGCCAATGAACTGCAGGTCGGAATTTCTGAGAAGGTTTCCTTCATAGATAGAAAGGTGAGGCCTCTCTGAAAGCCTTTTGGCTTTTGCTACTCCCTTTCTTTTTGTCTGAAATGTGGCTATGATGCCTTGGACAAAGCAGCCACTTCATGAGTTTGTATGAGGTCAGAGGCACACATTAGTGACAGAGCCCAGCAAGAGAGGGAGCCTGTGTCCCTGAAGACAGCCTGGTTTGATGGTCATTTGACTCTTCATCTCCAGCCTCACCACTAACCATTCCTCTCACCTTGTGATCTACAATCCAAGCACTGGTGAAATATCTCAGGCACATCACATTGCCCCTGTGTCAGTTTTTATCAATCTTTTAGAAATTGCTGATTATGCCTGTTAATGCATTAATACTGTATGCTTAAACTTTAAAAAAGAATCAGCAGCATTGTGGGCTGGACTGTTCCCGTAGCAAAAGAGTCAGGAAGTCTAAGTTTAGTTCTGGCTTTCCCATTGACTGGCTCTATGACATTGGGCATGTTTCAGCAGCTTCCTCATCTGCAAAATGGGAGTATTAGATGTGATTTGATCTTTCCATCCTTTTTGTTCAATGAATATGTGAGACCAACTATGAAATTTTTTCAAGAGAAAAGGAAAGACCATAAGCAATTGATAGTGCAAACCTCAACAAAAGTTTACGGAAGAGAAATCAAGAAGCAGCCCTGAGTAGTAAGGACACAAACAATTCCATAGCACTGTGTGCAGGGGTGGCAGGGAGAATGATGGTGGTAGTGAGTACTCTCAACACCAGAGGCTGTCCTCTCCAGGTACTGAAGGAAGGGTGAGGTAGGCCAAATTCCAGTGTCTGGGCTGGGTGCGGTGGCTCATGCCTATAATCCCAGCACTTTGGAAGGCCCAGGTGGGTGGATTGCCTGAGGTCAGGAGTTCGAGTCTGGTCAACATGGTGAAACCCCATCTCTACTAAAAACACAGAAATTGGCTGGGCGTGGTGGCTGGCACCTGTAATCCCAGCTACTCAGGAGGCCGAGGCAGGAGACTTGCTTGAACCTGGGAGGCAGAGGTTGCAGTGAGCCGAGATGGCACCGTTATACTCCAGCCTGGGGCTTGGGTGCAAAGAGCAAAACTCCGTCTCAAAACAAAACAAAAAAGTCCACTGTCTCTCATCAGTCACCACTTCAGTGGGTTGTGCTAAATGTGTTTGATATACAATGCTAGGTATTAAAATAAGCATTCTGGGAGAATTCAGATGATGCAACTACTTGCACAGAGGCACTGTCTTTAAGTTCCTGAAGGAGCTCACTAAATTATTCTTAAAGGAGCATAATGAACTATTCATTCTAGATGTTACTGCCTGCACAAGACCATGTTCTACAGTATAACCCATTAAACACACATATCTTTAGATTAAAACACAGGTTCCGTTATGGGTCGACTTGATGGGAAAGTCATCATCCTGACGGCCGCTGCTCAGGGGATTGGCCAAGCAGCTGCCATAGTAAGTTGCTATCTTTGTTGTCTGCTTACTAATTCTTGACGTATTTAATTATGTGGACTGTTGCCATAGCTGTTTACTTCTGCTCTGCTTTTTTTGTTTTTTACTTTTGTGCTTCTGTTGTCTTAAGTTATAAAAATAAAGAAATAGGTCACTATTCCTAACCCCAGGCAGATGAAGGAATGAATTCTTCATGTTTATTACATGACATTACTTACAAATTTTGACTCTGAGAAATTTCTCTACTTCACTTTCTCTGCTTCATAATAAATTTGCTACAGAGGGCCAACAGGGTTACATAGCTTTCTGAAATTATGTCAATTTAGATATATGACTATAGAATTATAAGACAGGTTTCCTTTGTCTTTTGATTTATATCAATTTCTGTTACACTGTATACACCACTTAACAGTGCACCTTAAGTATAATGGTAGGATATGATTTGACATCTATGAAAGCACTAGCATACTCTTAATAGGAAAAATGTTGAAATAATCCGTTTTTCTCTTATTATTTGGAGTTTAGAAACTCAAATTCAGAAATGGTATACAGTCTCATTACAGAAGAGCAGTATTTTGAGAGTACTAAAACAGCTGTCATTTTTTAAAATGTTATTTTGTTTGACATTACTTAAAGGGACTGAGATGACAAACATAATGTATGTCACATTGTTCTAATTAATGATGAAAGTAATAACACTGGAGAGGGGGTAAGACTAGACAATTTGAAATTCTAGCTATCTTATAGGGAAAACAACAATGAAAATAAGATAAAGGAGAAAAAGACCACATGATGTTCCATTCATCAGCACAGTTTATTCAAGTAAACAAAGGATTTATTTGTACTTTGTGTCTACTAGGCTTTTGCAAGAGAAGGTGCCAAAGTCATAGCCACAGACATTAATGAGTCCAAACTTCAGGAACTGGAAAAGTACCCAGGTAAGCAACTCAGCAGCTTGGACTTGGGATTCAGTGTCTGCAAGGTATTATAAAGCAATGGCACTCCCATGTTCAAAGAAAATTCCTTAGCTATTCAGCTCCACTGTCCTGCTTCTTAGATTCTCACACTCTGAGATGAAATCTATATTCTGTGAACCTGTACACAAAAATCTGTGTACTTACATGCATAAAAAAATTTGAAGACAAATACTTAAAATTCTTTATTTATCCAACACATTGAGGGATTCCATTCCTAATTACAAACTTACATGTCAAAATATACTAGTTATTAGATTTGATAACTTTTCACTTCTGTGCCCTTCTCCTCCAGGATAGCCCTGTCCAATAGTAACACAATGTGAGCCGCATGTATAATTTTAAAGTTTATAGTATCCACATTAAAAAGAAACAAGTGAAAATTAATTTAATAATATATTTTATTTAATCCAGTATATCTAAAATATTATCTCAACATGTACTCAAGATAAAAAAATTAATGGAATATTTTATTTTTCTTACTAAATATTTTATTTAAACAATTAGAAGTTTCTTACAAACTTCAATCACTAATTTTCTCTTCTTTGCAGCTTTTCTCTTAATTTTCTCTTCTTTGAGGTATAATTGAGAAATAAAAATTGCATATATTCAACATGATGTTTTCATATATGTTGTGAAATACCCTGTGAAATGATTATCACAGTCAAGCTAATTAACATATCCAATACCTCATTTAGTTACCTCTGTGTGTGTGTGCTAAGACTACCTAGGATCTACTCTCATAGCAAATTTCAAGTATGCATTATTATTAACTATAGTCACTGTGCTGTACATTAAGTCTTATAACTGCAAGAGTGCACCCTTTGAGCAACATCTCAATATTTTCATACTAAATCCTTAAAATCCATGTGTATTTTACAGTTGCAGCACATTGCATTTCAGACTAGCTATTTTTCAAGAGCTCGATAGCCACATGAGGCTGGTAGCTACCATACTGGACACAGCTCAGCCCTAAAATCACACATCATCATGAGAAACCCTAAGAGATACCTAGATTATTAGGTGTGCACCACCACTTCCTCACCCCACTGAACCAAACTCCAACATCAAATGATTTTAATTATAGTTTGCCCAAAGAAATCAGAACAGAGAACTTATTTGAAAGTTAACCCCTCCAGCAAAATAGAACAGGTTACATAATTAAACAGAAATTAGTTCCTTGAATTAGTTAATTGAATTGAAATATGTTGAATTATAATTCCAACAAGTCAAAGTAAAGAGACTACACTGGGAAAGCACAAAGATAAGGAATTATTTTTGAAATAAAATTTCAGTCTTCCCTTTCTTTTTTTTTTTTTTTTT